AGAAAATCTCGTTGCTAATTCTTTCTGGCCGACCGGTCGGTCATTTAATCTTCATTACGGAGCTAGCGAAAAAGGGAGAGGTATTGATAAAATCTGTAACATTTTGGAAGTTCTTTAAGTGACATGCTTCTCGGAACCTGGCTTAATTGACTAGCTCACTACTTTTCTAGTCGGTTCCAACCCCTGGAAAAGAAGGAGGCGGAGAGTGGGGGTGGGGCTAGCGACCCTATCCTCACAAAACTATTCAAGCTGCAGTAGATATATACATAAATATTTGTACACTGACAAGCTTAGTAACATCTGTAGTTTTCGTCTTTCAACTCCTCTTATATTCAGATCCGTAATATCTATGGTTGTTCTCTTCTAAATGTTTCATTAAATTATGTGGAAATTGTGTATATTGGTGACATTGTAACTGTTTTAATATTGTGTGTCGTTGATAAAAAAATTAATACATTGTACTGACACCATGTTATACTGATTAGGCATTTGTTATCCTTGCGTTAATTAAGTTCATCCATGGAAAGAACTGCCTAAAGTTTTGTTGTACTCACTTAGTTGAAAAAACAACCAAAAATAATCTAAAAGTGCAACGATATGCGCACTTGTTAAAGCATCACTTAGGTGTATAACTTTTATAAACCAATTTGAGTTTAAATTATTTTGAAATGATTACATAAGAAATAATGGATTTTATGTTTAGATTCTTTTAAAAACCATTATTTTGATCATAATTGTAAAATATAAAAAATAACACTTAAGTAAAACTCATTTTAAGCTTTTCTTTTCTTATATATATAAAAGATTCACAACCTGATAAGGGCGACAAGGGAAAGGTGTACATCAGTAAGGAATAAACATTTTGTTATTGGTACTGCGAATATGCTTAGATAAATATAATTAATAATTAATACTAATGTTCAGCAAATTTTCGATTCCATATTAGATAATTTCATGTGATTAAGTGTTAGTAACTATAAGAAGTCTTGATTATGAAATATCACCCGTCTTCATCTCATCAGTGTATTTATAAGACTTCTGATCTTGCTTTGTATGCAAAGATTTTATCCCATCAGGTTTTTAACGCAGTTTTCCATTTATTCGGAACTGGAATTCAGTGATTTCTTTTACAAGTGTTGCTGAGTAGTTCGCACCCATCGGGGTTCGAACTCATGGTTTTCTGGTTACAAGCCGAGCCTATAGACTATTCAGCTACTGGGTGCGTACACTGAAGAGCCCCAAACTAGGAAGAAACAGCTGTCCAGTACTCCCAGGTTTTCCGATGGTCCTTTAACCGATATCAATTTATGATGAAATCCTGAAACCAATCAAATCCTTGCAAACCAGCACTTAAAATCTTATGTTCCAGTAATCTAAGTAATCCCAGATGAACTGGTTTCACCTATGTATTTCATATTATAGTTATCAACTGACACTTGGAATACTTACTATATTACTTTGTCTAATCAAGTTTAGTGGGTTCCCGAGTGAACTGCAGTCTGCAGTACTATCCTTATTCAAAACAGGGTTTCAGATGTTTATTCAATAAATAATATTATCAACATTATTTTCGTAAGTTGCGAGAGCTTCAACAGAACATCTTCATTCCATTCTGTACTCTCTCTAGTCGTCTTTAGCTGATTTTGCAATTACCCATTAGCTTTCTTCTACTCTTCATACGATCTCATTCATGTCATCCTTGGACCTATGTCAAACATTCCATTTCGCAAATAGGTCCTACTGGAGGGCTTAATGGTCACTTAATGGTCTCCTTAGTGTGTTTCCGATCCACCTTTATTTTCACTAGAATATTTGTTGGGATAATGGTTCTTGGTTGGCTCGCTGGACTACGGAGTTCTTTGTTGCTTATGAAGACTGAATTTAAAGGATAAGGTTGCCAGCTTCATGGCCCACCTCCCGCCTTTATCGACCTTACTACTGGCTAGGCGGGGTTAAGGATTACGTCTTCTGAGAGTTAAACCAGGACGACTTACACGGTTGGCGAGTGAGTATTCCAGTGTAACAACAGAAGACAAGGGCAAGGCAACAGATCGTTTATTAGGGAAATCAACACGTATTTATATATTTTCATGTACATTATTATAGCTTATTTAAGCAGACAAACACAGTCTTCTGATTGGTTGTTTCTCACAGAAATTTGACCTTGCATCTCCTTGTGACTGTTTCTTGAATGTCAGGTTATCTATATGTTGACTGCATCTGCCTACTCAAAGTCCGCTGTGGTTGTTTGTTGAATCAGTCTTTGTTCATATTTCCTCATGATCAATATTTGGAACCTACACATTGAGGTAAATTAATGTCTACCGATTTGGCTAGCAGCCTGCTCTCACCACACCAACACTTAACCACCGATGACAAATCCACTTAGGAATCTGATGTATATATATATATATATATATATATACTTAACCATCCCTCTATGGAATTAGCTAATTTACTATTTTCAACTTGCATGTCATTTACATACACCTAATATAGTTTAACTTTTCATTTGCTTATTATAGTGTCCGTAGATATTTTGACACTTACAATCAGTAAAGTACGAGTTTTACTCTAATGAAAACATTTTTAAAGTTCATTATCCATACTCTGCTTTCCTTAAAATGTTAGACAAAGCCCCAGTAAAATCTCTAGTTTCCCATCTGATAAAAGTATTCTTTACTACACTATTCTAAAAAGTGTATTCATGATTATAGTAAACTACTGTAACTAATTAGTGATTTAACTGGATACATGAATTGATACAGTTGAAATGAATGAGTGAATTATAAGTCTTCTTTGAATAATAATTCCTTCCAAAGTCTCTGTTTTCATTACTCTTATTCTTGAAACACACAACACACACATCATAGGTACCAACGGATTTGTCACACAAAATCGCAAAGTTCATGCGTGATTTGAAATACTGGTTAGACGCCCAGACTGAAGCGAGTGGTTATCTTAGGCTACCACTCCCCTCCCCGCTGCGCTTTGGCTTGATTTCCTATCTCTAAGACAGTGGAGAGGCGGCAGTAGATACATTCCAATGGTTGCCGGTGACCAAAAAAGATTCATGTGCCATTTAATCCTTTCAGGTTTCTATACCTCGTATACAGCATGTCCACACAGTCTGGTTGGTTGTAAGCGCTAGAATTTGTCACTTGCCTTTTTCACTTTAGATTGGTTGGACGATTTCATCATGAGCTGACATCAGTTAGAGAACCATTGGAAAACCTGGGAGTAATAGACAGCTCATGTCAGCTCATGATCAAAATCCTCCAAACAAAATCCCTACAAAACCAGTACTTTTCACTTTCATGAAGATCACTCCCACCGTGTGAAAGCGGTGAATAGTAATTACCTGGTGGAGTCTATGAATGCGTAACAACCACCTGACAAAATTTGTAGAGGAAGACCGAAGTCTAATGACCCTCATGTGAACAACATCGTTTGTGTGACAAAGTTCCTCTTCTGAAGTAAAATATTCTACAATATGTAACCTAGTCCGTATGTTATTTTCTGCTTCTGTAAGCTACAGTAATGCTTGCTGTGATTTTCAAGTATTCGTTTTTGTAGGAATTGTGTTTGATTGGTTGGAGGATTTTATCGTGAGTTGACATCAGTTAGGGAACCATTGGAAAACCTAGGAGTAATGGACAGCTGTTTCATCCACGTTTTGTACTCTTCAGCAGTAGCTTGATGATCTATGGGCTTGTCTCGTAAACAGAAGATCGTGAATTCGAACCTCAATGGGTCCGTACTGATGAAGCGTCCCAAACTAGGATGAAACAGCTATACAGTACTTTCAGGTTTTCCAATGGTTCTCTAGCTTACTGATATTCACTTTTAACGTCGAATTTCATAAGGAAAATAGAACTTCGACGTCACATATCCATTCTAATCAATTCACTGTTATTGGCTTATCGTGTCCATATTACCTCCTGGCACTCCAAGGTACCCAGTCTGTCATCTTCTACACCGATTACACTCAACTGTGTTGTCACTCGAAAGTTTTGACTTTTATCAATTTTTTTATTACAGCTTGATTCCACACTGTATATTTGGTACAAGTATGGAATTTTCAGCATGGATATCGGTAGCCCAAATTTCGTAGGTCAACTATAGATATCAGGTGTGCGTCGGCAGGATATCGAACCTAGGACCATGTGCATGGTTGGCGAGAGTCCTAACCACTGTGCCACCGACGCAGAATAAGTTTTGGACTATTAAGTCTATAAGTAATCATTACTTAATTCAATTGAATTTGAGATTTTCTCGTCGACTGATTGGACCGAAGTGCTCAGTCTCAAGTTGACATGTCTGTCGGCTTCTTGTGCAGATGCTTCGACGATGTCTGAGCATTTAATTAGTATTTGATTGATGGATGGTGGCTAGCAGTGGAATCCAAGCTGTCTAGTGGATAATGCTTTGGTGTTTGAAACTATAGGTACTGGCTTCGAGCCTCGGTGGGAACATCATCACTCAGTGACTGGGAAATGTAGGTATATTCAGCTGGCGGACGAGTCACGAATAGGACGAAATACGCTTTATCCTGGATTCCACTGCTAGCCACCATCCAAAAATTAAATATAGTCAACACTTACACTATACAACAATGAAGTGAGTTTTAGTCACAGCCTTAACATACTTTGTATACGATAGCATGTTTTTGAAAGGAAAATAAAAATGAATCGTTTCAGTGCATTCGCTTCTCATGATTAAGCTTTGAATGTGTTGATTCAACCCATGAGCATTTTAAGATTTTGCATATATTTTACCAGTAAGCAACGAATATTCCGTTTTACTAAAATCTAAATTTTAAAAAAATCATGATAATAATTAAGTGGATATTGAGATAATAATTGAAAGTGCATCTGTTGGCTGCACTGTCTATCTGTTTTCTCATTTTTGTGTTTTTTGTTTTTTTTCTGTGAAAAGTACCATATAAATAATGATAATAATTAATGTAGAGTTTGCCATTATAATCTACAGAGAACGACAACAGTTATTTTTTCACTACAAAATGTTAGGATTTACATATTTCCTTGTATGCTACACACTTCTAATCCACAATAGCTGTTACGGAGGTCCGTTTTATAGTAAGTTGACATTTCCATTTCTCATCTTCTCTTATGCTATACTTTAACGCAAACAACATTATTGTTATGGAGTTAGTTATTTAGAATATCTGTACTTGTACGAGATTTTATTCATTTGTTTGAATGGTATTAATAAAAGGGAAATGATATGAAGAATTAAGTTTTTCTAACTATGTATGTTAATAGAGAATAAAATATTCCCATATCATAAATAAAATGTTAATCTAAACTGAAGAATATTCCTTGCAAAGAAATCTCCTCTTTCGTCACAATTCTGGCCAGTTATGCGGTAGATACACTTCCACTTAAAAAAGCAGGATTAATTATCGAGGAAGGAAGTAAAAGACGGATTCAGCGAAGAAAATTTCCTTTATCGACGAAATCATCTCATCAGAGGCTGTACAGTCGTATTTATACTCAGAAAAATGTATGGTGGTCTATTATTGAGTAATAGAGGGTGACATAATTGACATAATAATTACTCAGAAGTGGATTTGGAAGTGAAAATTAAAAGTTGTAAATTACATTCTACTCAACGGAACAAAGATAGAAATTTGATAAGGCTAAAATTGCTATTGAGTGACAATAAAGGTATCTGAGTGTCAATATAACAAGTGTGAAGAGGGTATGAAAATATACAAAAGGAGCATACGAGATTGAATTAATTGTTAAAACTGAGGCAAAATTTTGATTTTGATTTTGTTTTTTAACTTTTAACTTTACTTTTAGTTTTTTTCCTTCACGTTCCCAGTGGAACATAGGGCGTCAAACTAGTAGCTTGAAGTTTCTGTAGCAGTTTTTATTTTACAGGATGGGGTTGCTAGCCTCATGCCCAACCTTTCCTCTTCGCCAGCTTTATTTTTGGCTCAGTGAGGTAAAGGAGTGCGTCTGTGGCCGGGGTCGGACCCCTGACCATGTGTATGGTCGGCGGGAGTCCTAACCATTGTGCCACCAACGCATCGACTCACGTACTTTTAGTTTGCTTCTGCTTTAATAATTAATTCACTACTATCCATCTCATATGCTTCTTTTGTATATTTTCACACCCTCTTCACACTTGTTATATTGACACTCAAATACCTTTATTCTCACTCAATAGCAATTTTTAACCTTATCAAATTTCTATCTTTGTGCCGTTGAGTACCACGTAATTTACAACTTTTAATTTTCACTTCCAAAGCCACTTCTGAGTAATTATTATGTCAATTATGTCACCCCCCCCCTATCACTCAGTAATAGACCACTATACATTTTTCTGAGTATAAATACGACTGTACAGCCTCTGATGAGATGATTTCGTCGATAAAGGAAATTTTCTTCGCTGAATCCGTCTTTTATTTTCTTTATGACTCAATGGGTACTTTAGGTGATTGAAAAATAGTAAGTATTTGTGTGTGTGCCTGTGTGATAAAATGTGTATGGCTGAATTTATCCACAAAATATTGTGTGAGATGAGGGCCGATAATGGTGATTAGTGATCATAACAGATTGATACAACGTGGGGTTGAAATAGACTGACAAGCTATTTGAAGGTTGTGAAAGTTGTCGGATGAGTGTCCAGTACAAGGTGGTATGCATTGAAGAGATGATAGGCAGAGAGCAAACACTGAATAGCTCATCATGATTCAACCATAATATGCGAAATGAGACAAGTGTGTTCATATATTGAGAAAAGAGAGTGAGTGAGAGAGAGATATATAATATCACTGATAACAAGTGAGAATAGTATGATTGGGAATTCTAGAGTGACGGGTATATACACTAAAGTAAATAATAATTCACTCAGTAATAATAGTAATAATAACAATGATAAATTCTAATAAGCAAAGCAAAAGAAATAAAAGGATATAAGAGGGAGAGACACTGTAGGAGAGAGATTGGCCATGGTGGGAATATCATCTGAATGTGTTCTTTTCTTTTAGTCGGTCTTATAGCAAAGGCTTCAGCTATTTGTGAAAGACATAAACAAACTCTGAGTGATAAAAACTTCAAGATGTGGTACATAACCCTGAAGGCTATTTTAGCGTCGATGTGACATCCAGTATTGACCAGATGTGATCGAAATGAAGATTTTATGCTTTTGATTTCCTTTTTTACTGAACAAAGCCTATAAGTTTTCTTGTGTATGTAGACAAATCGGCTTAATGATACGCTCTACATTACTTCAACTTTAGGAGTATTTGGAAAGGTATATGCATGTGGAGGAGCTACAATTAAGTCTTTCAGTCTCTGGGTGAATAATGGACTGCTATTAAAGGACAGGAACAGATGTGTATAAAGTAAAAAAACCCTGAGAATAAATTTCTTAAATAATTATCAGATCAACCTATCAGTCATTATTTCATTCTGTCTTATATTTTTCTATAAAGTGAATAGTTTTACTAAATGTTGATTTGCATCAATTTGATTGGTTACGCGTTTGACCAAAACCTGAAATCAGTCAGAATACCATTGTAAAAGCAGTTATCCAACACTACTGTGTTTTCCAATGAAACAGAAATAGAGCAAATGAATTAAGTGTCCCATCTAAATGTTTTCAAATGTTGACATAAACCTTGACTACTTAGACTTATAATATTTCAAAAGGCATGCTACTCTATTAATAAGCATTGGTTAAAAATAACATGTTGCAAAAGCACCTTCCCAGAATCACACATATTACCCTGTATAGCTAGTGAAATATAACAGCTACATTTATCTGTCGCGTTAAATAACAAATTGAGTAGTAATTGTTGAGAAGAGATAAGTTATTGTCAAATAATCTTCATGTGAATATGCCACCTAATACTGCCTTTTCAATTCATTATTAAGAAGTAATTTTAAACTTTCATTCAACACTATATTACTATTATTATATTGCCTTAGGTTCTGAGTGGAGCATCATAGGACTTCAAAAGCACTCTCCACTTTGTTCTAATTGATGTTGTCCTCTTCAGCTGGTCAACGATTACTCATAGCCTCTCATCTCCTCCTTCTCCTCCTCCTCCTAGCATGATCTGTTCCGTGTCAGCCTCACACTGACGACCCATTCGTCACTTCTCATTGAGATTTAACACTGATTTAGTTTATCTGATAAAATACACAGTAATACTTCACTAATGATTGGAGTTTTGATCACAACTAATTATAATATCAGTATACAGAATTGCGTCTTATTCTCTCTTGTTTCGTTATATAATTTATTTTATATACATACATACATACGAAACTAGGATTTTGCAATTTCCATAATACGTCCTAGGTGTTAATTTCTCGAACAAAGAACTAGTGATTAACCTTCCTCTTTTAAATTTAAAAGTCAGATCATTTACAGATTTACCATAATGAACTTCACATCGGAAAATAATTAAAAATGTATAACTCAGCGTTTCTGATCTAACCCCTTTTTTCAAATAAATGTTTTATAGGCGTGTTACAGGATAAGTGAAAGTCTTATTTTATCTATCCTACAGATAATGATTACTATTCAGGTCCTGGTTACGGTCCCGGTTATGGTCCTGGCTACGGTCCTGAATACGGTCCAGGTTCAGGAGGCAAATCAAAATATCGATTTGACAGGGCTATCGCCAGTTTTGTGAAAGAACCAACTGTTGGCTCAGTGTGGTTTACACCACGCGGACCTAACATGTACCTTAATGGAAGTGTTGCTGGACTGCCTCCTAGAAAAGTATTAGGTGTACATATACACCAGTATGGAGGTCTTGGAAATAATTGTAATGATGCTGGTCCACATTTCAATCCATTCCGACAGTAAGTATTGAGTCACCTTTCTTAGTTGTTTTTCTCTTTAATTGTGGAACACACATTTGATTGAATACAATTCAGTCGAAATTAACTAGCAATTCTATTTCTTATTTGTTGTTTGTCTTGTATCACGTAAAGATTATATTGGCAATGATCTATTTCTGGTTAGCTGGGAAATTAATTTTCCGACGGCTTATTATAAAGTTTATAGACTTTGACTATTATTATTAGTCTTTTCCATTTCGAATGAAAAATAGTGCCTCATACTTGATCTTTGAATCATCAATGGCAGTGGTATTCTTTTTCCTGGGTAGGATTGCTAGCATCACACACAACCTTCCCTCTTTATCTAGCTTACTACCGGCTAGGCAGTATTTAGAAGTACGTCAGCCAGCGATCGAAGCTCATATCATTTGCATGGTTGGTGAAAGTTCTACTATTGAAACAATAATGCACATTTCATAGGATTTATTCATGATATTAGGAACTTTGTCAGGAATGCATAATCATTCGCTTCAGTTTAAAACGAATAAAACAAGATATCATGAGTATGGCAAAAGATCTGTTATGTCTGTCAGAATAGTGAAATAAATTTTACTTAGTATTGATTTCTTATGCTTTTAAATGCATGAATGTACAGTTTACAGCTTCTTTAGATCTACGTCATATACTATCTTCAAGAGACAATTATCTTTTGTACACATTTCGGGTCATTGTCGCTAACTCATCGACTGAGTTGATGTTAACTTCCTTATTTGAATATGATAATCATACGGTAGATGTTCTTTAAGTTTAATTGGAAAGGTTCGAGAATATTTCACTGGAAGGCTGATAGTATGAGATGTATTGTAAGTTATACTCTGATTGGACACTAGTAACTAGTGTATTGTGTCTAGTCTTCTGTTTGGTGCAGACTGAATTCTATCATTCAAGTTTTCCAATGTGACCATTATTCTAGATGCCTCACTATCACGGTGCACTTTGAAAACTGAATGATAGATAATGATCGGAGGCAAACGGCAGGAAGTCTTGGACATAGGTTGCATCAGCAGTGAGTGACGCGGGTTCGAATCTCAGAAGGGATATGAGGTCCCTCAAGGTCACCTTTCTGACTGGTGGGTGCCAACTAGCAAGAAACCTGGATGGAAGGCTTCCTACCGATCGCCTCCAACTATCTAACATTGTTAGTTATTCAAAGACTCAGGATAATGAGTGAACAAGTAGTGGAACACATTTATTCTTATGTTTTTGTGTAATTTGACAACATGTGTCACACCTTCAATCATTTTAACAGAAATCTTCTGTTGTCTTTGAAATATCACCAGGAATGGTGAATTGTCTTCAAAAACACTTTGGAAATCTATACTGAAACTGATGGCGTGATCGAACATCACGAGCAGCTATGTGAGGGATTCCTTAGGAAGCAGTACAATGTATATATTTAAAAATCTTCTACTGCTTTACTTACTGCTCCCGATGTCCCTCAGGGTGCTGTCCTTTCTATGATTTCTTTCTTCTTACATGACTTGTCTAATTCTGATGAAGCCAGTTTTGTTAATTATACCGATGATCTAACTGTTTCGATGCTGGTTACTTTTCAGTCAGATTGTTCAGAAGTGAACAGATTTTCGCCAGAAATTAACCAGTGGAATTTGTAAAATGCTATTTCTTCACTTTTTGACACAAGTGTGATTTAAATGAGATGATTCGTCACCATGATTCATGTATCAGAGATAGCCCAGAAGTTGGAACTAAGCAGAATATTAGATATCTGGCTTATTTAGTTCCTCTGATATTTCCTTGTTCGCCCATATCATATTTCTTGTAGCCTTCTATGTAAGGAAGTAAAGATAATCTAGTATCACTCAGTCTCTGCTTTTACAGTTTTTTAATTCATTGCATCCTACGTATTCTGCTTTATTGTTCTGTCTTAATGTTTACTGTGATGGACACTGAAAGCCAGCAGCAATCAGCATAAATGAGAGAAATCTGAAAAAAGCAACCTCCTTTACCTATCAACCTTGGAAGTATCGTTTCAACTACAGGCGGACGGAACTGATGAGGATATAAAAGCGAGGATTAGGAAATCAATGCAAGCTTTCATTACTCTCAAGTCTGTGTGGAGATCAACAGCACTCAGCATCAAAAATAAGATCTAGATTTTCAACTCCAATTTGAAATCAGTGCTACGTAATATACGGATCAGAGACTTGGAGCTGGGTCACAGAGGGCACTTCGAACAAACTACAGAAATTAATCAACATCTGTCTTCGCTCAGTACACCGCTAAAGGTCAGATGGTCGGCCAGAAAAGATCAACAATAGGGAGAGATCTCTGGCAATGAGCGAACCAACTTGGCAGCAACCAATTGAACAAGAAATATGCAGGAAGAAATGGAGTTAGGTGGATTGGCTATACTCTGAGAAAACAAACCATCAAGTGAGTGACATCACACGCGAAGCCATCGCTTGAGTAGAACCCGAATGGGAAGTGATTATTGGGTTATAAGTGCGAGGTTGATATAGTGGAGGTCATGTAAAGAGGAGATGAAAGCATATGGGCAAACCTGAAGCCAGGTGAAAGAGTTGGCGGAGAACAGAACGCAATGGAGACGTGTATCTGAATCACTTATGTTCCTTTGAGAGTTAAAGGAAACCATAATAAAATAATAGTAATAATCTTGTCGTACTCTAAGTATCCTCTTTACACACGATCCTCCACTTGCATCTCATCAAGTAGGAATAAAACCAAGTATAATGACTTTATGCTCGAACAACTAGGTAAACATCTCTACGACGCTTTATTTGACATGCCTTCCATGTGATGAAAAAAGTGTTAGACATGCTACTGCCAACTTACTGAGAAACACTAAGTAAACGGCCTTTTCTACTCCTTCTTGTATATATATATATATATATATATATATATATATATAGAAACGCATGTTTCTTCGATCATAAGAAAACTTAGCCTGCTAAAGGTGGTAAGAGCACTAAAAGTTATTTTCGAAGAACATAAATATATAAGTATGAAAATATTTACGTGAATCTTAAATTTTATGAAATTCTTTTCTTATCATTTCAACTTTTTCATATAAAAAAAAACAATTTTAGGCGTCATGGTGGACGAACAGGTCATCCAAGACATGCTGGTGATTTAGGAAATATTCCAGTGGATGAATTTGGAGTCATGTATTTCAGCCTTTATGTTACTTTAAAAGGATTAGGACCATTTAATGGATTTATTGGACGAGCTCTTGTTATACACGAAAATACTGATGATCTTGGTATATTTCCAGATGAAGGAAGTAGGACAACAGGAAATTCAGGCGGTAGATTAGCATGTGCTACAATTGGATATCGTGCTCCATAAAATGAGCTTCAATAGTTTGTATTTTTGAATAAATGTCATAGAAAACATAATATATATAAATATATGTCTACTGATATGCTTCACTTTTATTTTGTGTATATGATAGAATATCTAATTATTTTTCTCATGATTCCTCAAAACGTCCATGAAGGTAGATGCGATAGAAGAGGGAAAATAGTAGAGGTAACCTGATTTATATGAATTCTGAAAAATGATAATTTTTCAATGACGTCTGATTACACAAGTAACAAATAGTATAGTCCGATATTTTAGAAGAGTATTCAGTTGGCTCATCAGTATTGAAGCCTTGTGTTGTTGAAAAATAATCCTCCAACGAATCAAACAAAATCCCTACAAAACCAATACTTGGAAATTGGTCTGAAGCTTACTAGTGACTGGCTCTATTCAGGTAATTAGTTGCTTTGTGTTCTAGTGGGAAGCCATGACCATTAGGGTACGGCAGGTTAAAGGTGAGAGAGTGACTCATCGAAGAAGATATTGTGAAGTGATGGCGCTATGTGGTGAATTGTCAGAAGTTAGAATTCATGCATTGGCCATTGGATCGTCGGGTACCAGTGGCTTAGTGGTCTACGAGCTCGCTAGCCTTGTAACCAGGAGGTCGTGGGTTCGGACCCTGGTGGTGGGTGCATGCCGATGAAGAGTCTCAAACTAGGGTGGAACAGCTGTCCAGTACTCCCTGCAGGTTCTCCAATGGTTCTCTAACTGATGTCAGCTCATGATAAAATCCTCCTACTAATCGGTAAAAATTGCATCCCATATTACACTGTAGGATGTAATGCCGTTTTTTAAGTGTGTAATTTGCCTGGCACTTGTTAAAAATGATTTTCAACGTCAGTGAAGACAACTGATTAGATTTGTGGTCATGATATACATAAAGATCTATCGGATTGGTTACAGGCTTCATCATGAGTTGATATCATTCAAAGAAACACTGGGTGGCCAGCAAGGAGTACTGGACAGCTGTTTTGTCCTAGTTTAAAACTCCTCCGCAGTACGTATCCACCGGGGTATGAAGCCAGGAGCTTCCGGTTACATGGTAAACTCTTAGGCCTGATTTAACAGACCATGAATTCAAACTTTAGCCCATTTGTGATGTATAGCGCAATCGTTAGTCAACGTCACCTGCAAATAACCTGATTTGATGGATCTGGCTGGTTACAACTTCTCAGTAGATAACCAGGTAACTTTATGTATAAAGTCAGTCACCTGTGAGGCTTGATCACGATGTCTGCGGACCGCCGCAGAGTCCTAAAATATTACGGGACAGCTTTCCATTACTCTGTGGTCTAGCAGCGTTTCTCTAACTAATGTCAGCTCTTGATGAAAATCTAAACAGATGTCAAAGAAAACAAAATCTAACAAAATTTCAATTTTTTAAACGTAACAATCGCAAAGATATATGGTGTCAGACGCTTATCTCCTTGTATGTTCATCTAGCAGAAATCTAGGAGTTTCAATTTTAATCTCGTCGGATGTTGATGGCCACCTGACTACTCTAAAATAATATGAGTATTGAGTGCAGAAATTTTAATAAAAGAAATCTTATTTTAACGTTGATGATAACTGTATATTGAGTAAGCAACTGAATAATTTTAAACTTAGTCGCCCATATTGTATGGACGATGTCTCCAGGATTGTTTTACTAATTGAATCTCTACATTCTAAGTGCTATATAACTAAGAGTAAATGTTAGAAACTGAGTAACTAGAAAATAAAATCTTGAAACAATTTAAAATGTAAATCATTTGCGGAGAAATAATGCCAACCGACTATAGGTACTAATTCGTTTAACTACTACCAATTATTCATTAAAAGTTAATCAGATTTCATAAACATAACTACTAATAGTTGACTTGCCATCATCAACAGAGATGAAGAATGACATGCCTTCTTGCAAGGAAAAATAAACATCAAAGACGTTTTGTACAGCGTTACTTAGAGGTTCTAAAATATTACGTCATTCTCAGCTTATGAAGAATCATTGGGCAGTCATCAGGCTGAATCAATTCAACTTTTTCAACTTATTTCATGACTGGAAAATAGGAAGAAAATTGAAACAGCATCAAATAGTACTGTTTACTGGAACTTAGAAAAAAAGTACCGCTTGAGGATATAATGCTGGGGGTGCAGCTGTGCCTGACTTGCACATTATTTAAATTCCAAGGGAAAATATACAAACAAACTGAGGGAGTTGACATGCAGAAACCAATATCCCTAATTGTAGCAGATATATTCACGGATAGGTGGGAAAACCCAGCAATTGAAACATTCACCCCCAACCCCAAAAGTATCGTGGAGGTATGTAGATGACACATTCACAAGATAAAGATAAATTTTTCGAACATATTAACACAAAGAAGGAGGCGATTCAATTCACTTATGAACAGGAAGGTCAGGAAAGGGAAAATGGGAAGATAAACACTAGTGTTTTCAGGAAACCCACACATGGAAACAGGTATTTGGAATTCCGATCATTCCATCCTCTGTCAGTAAAAATAGGATTGGTATAATTTTTAAGTGACAGAGCACAAAAATTAAGTAGTACCAAGAAGAGTCTGAGACAGGAAGTGATACATATGAGAGAAGCCTTGAAACTTAATAATTACTCTGATAATTTATTCAGGATATATGTAGGGAAACGTAAAAATAAAATAAATGATAATAGCAGTGATAATAATGATAATAATTATAATAATGACGACACCAACAATAAGGAATCTCAATCATCAGTAGCAACTCCATACAAGGAAGGAACCTCGGAGACCTTACACAGAATTCTTAACAAGACAGGCGGGGATAAAAGCGGCTGGCAGTCAAACACATAAACTCAAACAGAAACAAACTTTGTCGGTTGAAGGATGTTGTCGGCGGAGCCAATTCAACGAAACAATTTCGTTTATCTAATACCATGTTGCAATGATTGTCAGGTCAAATACATAGGTCAAAGTAGTAGAAGGGAGTCAGTCAGTCAGTCAGACTAGCGGAGCAGCACAAAACCTAGCCAAATCTAAATAGGGTAAGAAATATGGAGAACAGATCACCTATAGCACCACACCACATGGAGTTACACACAACAGAGCGATACAATGGGATGGGATAAGATGATATTTTTACAATCGAATGTAATAACAGGGTGGACAGAGAGAGATATTGATGACAGTGAAAGCTTTTGTTGTAATTATTTGTAATCGTAGTATTAGTATTTCGAGATGGCCGAATTACAAGAATCCAAACAAAACACAGATAGGGCGGAATTCAGGAATTTGTATTTAGCCGAATTATAATGCAATTCATATAAGAAATATTTAACAATCAACAGTAAGTATTTAAACAATACAGAGATAGAAATAGTCAATCACCACATCCGCCACATGTCGAATGTCTCCTTGCGTATTTATAACGATGTCTCGGTTTGCTTGCAAGTCTCTGCGATCTTCTAACTGATTCTGTGATATCATTTCCATCAGTATCATCTGGACTTATTTCTGAATTATCTACAAAGTCAGGATTAGTAGCGGAGTCATTATAATCATAATCGGAACGACCTACCTCATTTATTCTCACTTGATCCAAGTGTCTGTTATGAACTGAATTATCTTCGATGTCTAATATCTTCACCATTCGATTTCCCATTCTTTGTAGTATGATACCAATAGAAGGTCTATAATCATTCCCTCTGTAATAATGTACATCAGAAGTCGTGGACATCAGATGCTTTCTGAGAATTCGAGATTTGAATAGTTTTGCAGGACTTTCATGAGTACTTGTTCGCTCCGCATTGCGATATTGAAGTAAGAAGTTATCCACATGCCTCTCTAGCTCATCAAAATTTTTAGGACTCATTGATGCTATAGCACTCTTTAATGTTCGTACAAAATTTTCTGCCAACCCGTTTGACTGAGGATGACGTGGTGCTGTGTACAAATGACGACAACCTATATGTTTGAGCCAATCATTGAAGTTCTTCTCATTGAAATGAGTACCATTGTCAGTAACTAAGACATCTGGAATTCCTTCTCGACTAAAAATCTTTCTCAACGCTCTGTGAGTGAATTTGGCATTAGGACTATCTGTAATGATGACTTCTGGCCATCTAGAATAAGAATCCACAATAACTAAAGCATAATATGAATTTAAGAATGGACCACAGTAATCTGCATGAATACGCTGCCAAACCTCACAAGATGCAGGCCACGGTGTCCACGATGACTTCCCATAGGACATTTTATGTAAACAGCTAGAACAGCTCTTTGATCTTTTGTTAATGTCAGCATCAATTTCCGGCCACCAGCATGTTAGGCGTGCTAATGATTTCATCTTATCAGCTCCTAGATGAGCAGAATGTAGATCATCCAAAATCGCAGATCTTAATGTTGGAGGAATAATAATTCTGTCATTCAGACATAGAAATCCTTCAGGATGGACTGAAATCTCATCTCTTCGCTTATAAAAGTCTGGAAATCTTCGCTTACACTGAACATTCCAACCTCTTTTTGTTGCATTTAAACGCATCCGTAATATTTCCGAGTATCATTTATAAGTCGAACTCGATCCACCGGTAACGGCTGGACTAATAAGCAATCAGTATCATTAGCAGAATTTTCAAATAATGAATAACGAGATAAGAAGTCTGCATGAGGTATATCCTTTGCCGATCTATGTTCAATAGTGTAATCATATGCACTTAGTTCTAAACTCCATCTTTGAACCATAGCAGCAGATGATTTATTCAAAGATTTTTCTGGATTGTAAATGAATTTCAAAGCTTGATGATCAGTAACTATGTGAAACTTAGTACCAAAGAGATACTTGTGCAAGCGTCTTATTGCCCATACAACTGCTAGAGCTTCTTTCTGGGTTTGTGAGTACCCTTGTTCACTCTTACTTAGACGTCTTGAAATACAAATAACAGGTTGTCCATTTTGCTCAAGTACTGCAGCTATACCCATAGGAGAAGCATCTGTAGTGAGAACAGACTT